GCAGGGCGAGCCTTCAGAGAGCATTGGAACCCGTGGCCTCCTCTCAGGAAGGGAGGCCCAGCCCCCTGCAGGGGCGCCACAGGCTGGTCTCCACAACCATCCAGGGGTGAAGGGTTCTGGCTGAGCCATAAGCCAACCTCATGTAGGTCTGTGACGAAACCAGTGCCCAGCCCGGGCGTGTCCCCTACCTGAGGTGAGGCCGGGCCCGGAGCTGGATGAGGAGGCAGACGTGAAATGAGAGTTGACCAGCTTTGTCCCTGCTCCCTCTCTGGACCTGGCATGTTTGGTGAGTGCACAGTAACCAGTTTTGGGGTGCAGGGGCCCTGGGAAGCCCCTGAGTCCAGGCACAGGGTACAGAGCTCCGGTCAGTTCAGCAGCCTTTGTGCAACCTACAAGTCTCATCCCTAAAATGTTTACGGAGGGACATCTTTTCCTTTCTAAGTAAGCAGATCCGGGTAAAATAAAGCTAGGCAAGTAACAATTTGGGCAGCTCACGAGGAGAGAGGTGGTAAGATAATGCCTGATGTTGAGAATGCCATCCTGAGGACCCGGGAGACACCCAAGGATTTGAGTAGCAGAAAGATGGGGCTGTAGTTGCATCTTTGGAAGATGCTCTGTGGAGGGACTGAAGGCTGGTGGGAAGGCGGTGTGGCATCCAGGAGAGGGGCGAGGATGAGGATGGCCAGGACAAGCTCAGGGCAGCCGGGAGGAGGAGGAACAGGTCTAGCTCCTAAGGAGGTGGAGTCATCAGATTTAGGGGCTAACAGGAGGCGGCGGCACAGATGGGCAACTGGACAAGGCAGGATGTTCCAGGAAGCCTGACTGGGAGGATCCCCCACTAGAAGCAGGCAGGGACGCAGACCCCAAGGGAGAGGAGGCCACTGTGGTGGGGGGCTTGCTGAGGCCCGGGTCTGGGAGATGCTCGTGGGGAATCCAGCCGGTACACAAGCAGAGCTGGGAGACGAGAAAATGCGGTGAAATGGTGTCAAGGAGGCTAGAGGAGGGATGCCCTGTGTTTCCAGCCTGCTGAGCCAGAAGAAGCAGGGCCAAGGCTGTGCCTGCGGTTTCATGCTCCACAGTTACCACCTTGAGGGGCAGGCCGAGGGGCAGACAGAGGAGACTGTGCTGCATCCGGCACAGTGGGGAGGCGGGAAGGTGGAGGAGGCCAGTGCGGAGAGCTGGCTCAAGAGGAAGTGAGGAGGCCTCCAGAGGGGAGGAGAGGGGCAGAGACGTGGAAGGTTTCTTGGTGAGGGGGTGGGGGCAGAAGGGTCTGACACACAGGAACAAGGACAAGAGCTGGTGCCCAGCAAAGGCGGTCTCTGACACCCAGAGCAGGAAGCACATTCTGTGTGTTAATCTACAATGATATCTGGGGAAGGAGGAAAGGATGGTGCTGCAGGGGCAGGCGGGCACTCTAGGGCCAGAGTTTTCTTTCCGACAGGGAGGCAAGCCCCTGTCCAGGAGGGGAGAGAGGTGGGAAGGGAGATGAGGTGAGTTTGGACTAAGTGGGTTTGAGCCAGTCACTGGGAAAGGGGGAGGGAGGGCCTGAGTGACGGAGGCACAGGGGAAATGTGTCCCATCTCTGCTCCCACACTTATGGAATGACCTTGGCTGAGTTACCTCAACTCTGTGCCTCAGTTTACTCACCTGGAGATGAGAATGATGCCTGTGCTGTGCCCCGGTGGTGGTGGTGTGCAAACCCACAGTGCTCACGGGGGCCAGGCCCTGGACATCACAGGAAATGATCCAGGCCCGGTGCTGCAGCCGGCCCCCTAAGCAACATCAGCCTCATCACAACGGTGCCGCCTGCATGTCTTGGCTGAGGCCCCTGGGATTCCTCACTCTGGATGCAGGGTGGGGGGCCTGTGGGGGCGTGAACGCAGGGTTGGGTCTTGTCAGGAGAATGCAACCGAGGGACAGGGGGGTGCAGGATTTCACCACGAGGGCCTGCATGCACGTGAAGCAGGGGCCACGGAGCTGGAGCCGAAGGGAGGCGGCCGGGCAGGGGAGGACAGAAGGAGGCCCCACGGTGTTAATGGGGCGAGTCAGGAACCAGCTGAAAGGATCAGAGGATGGGATTCCAGCGTGCTTTTAACCAATCACAGCACGCTTTCCCAGGGCCCATCCTCATGAGGTCCAGTAACTCAACTGCAAATCCTCACCACGAAAACCAAAGGCCGGCAGGCAATCGCCACATGCCTGAGCCAAGCGGTTTCATCACAACCGCTCATCACGGCGGCACCCCAGGTGGCTCCGCTGCCACATGACAAGACAATGGGAGTCTCTGAGGTCCCGGCGGGCTCTGCTGACAGCAAGCCATGGAGCAGGCCACATTTTTGGAAACTTGCCAGGCTCAGCATGAATGTTAAGTCCAGGTTTTCAGCCTAAACTCAGCCGCTTCTCGAGGGGTCACGGAGAAGTAGAGGGGCTCCAGGCACTGGCGAGTTGGGATGAACGCGTGTGCATTTTGGGCCTGGCGCCGGCCTGAGGTGCAGCCTGGAGAAGCTGCAAACGCGGGCGGCCTGGAGTCCCTCATCTGAGGACGCCAAGGCCCCTGTTGGTCTCTAAGACACTTTGCAACTTTATGACTCCGACATTGCTGTTGGGGAGCTGAGCTCCTGTCTGCTCAGTGGACTCTGATTTGTCCCCGGCTCCATCCATCACCTCATCCATCACCTCGAACACTCACCCAGACTTGACGAAATATGGGCAGGAAGAACTGAAATCTGCCTCGAGTCATATAACTTTTTACCAAAAGTTTAAATGACCCACAACAGCACCTTTTTACAACCTTTAACCCTGTCAGGACTTCAAACAGTCAGGGTCAGAGCTTTGGACAGAGTGCAGCATTTGGAAGAACAAGGACTCACTATGACCAGCGGCCAAGTGGCTTCACTGAAGGCAGAACTGGGCCTCGAGGGGCGACAGCCACACCTTCCTTTAGAGTTCGAGTTGGGCTTATTGGTCTTCCTGGAATTCACTCTGGGCCTTTGAACCATGGTTGGTCCTTCTCCAGGACCCAGCTACATTGGGAGACTAACGGCGAATGACACCAGGTTTGTTCAAGGCCCCCTTGTAATGGATTATTTGTGAGCTGCCCTGCTCCCACAGAGCCAAGAAACACCATAATGAAACCTATGTTTGAGCCATTCTTAAACAATGAGAATTAGCCCCCAAGTGTGGGGTGTTTGGGGCTCTGTGTTTTATGGTGGCCACTATTGTTCTAAACCAGCTTCCTCTGTTGTCAAAGTCACCTAAGGATTGTCAAGAACCCTGCAAGCTAGAAAATGTAAGGATCATCACAGGATGATTGAAACAAAAATTGTGTACACACACGAGCTGGTGTGTCTGGATTACATCACCAACTCCCCAGTGCACACGTTGCTCGGAGCCTAGGCCTGCACGCTGCACACAGGAACCACCGAGAATCTTGAGCGGGGATAAAGGTGGGGCACTTGAGACCCTGTGGCAACTCCAGCAGGAAGTCACGGAGCCCCTGGCCATGAAGGGGTTTATTTGGAATCCTAGGATTTAGCGCTGATGGGGTCCTAAGACAAGGTGGTGCTTTGGTGGATGATCAACCTAAAGCTGAGTTGCATGGCCAGGGTGGGCATCCAGCGGGAGTGGGCACAGGTGCGCCCCACTGTGGCCTGACACTGCTTGCTGTGTTCTGGGCAGGCGCAGGACCCTGCTGGGACAGCCCAGAACACCACGTCCTCTCTTGCTGTCCCTGGGCAGGGCCACACCCATTCCCTACTGTGAGCTTGCTACAACAGGGTGGCTTATATTCCAGGTAACTGCAGCCTCCAGCCTCACCAAGCTCAGCTCCACCTCCGTCTGGAGGCCTCGGGCATTTGCGACGTCTCCCTTGCAGAGCACTGCCTTTGCAGAGAGCTGCAGGCAAAACTCAGAGGCCAAGGGTGACTCCTGTCGCACCACGTCCAGTCCACCAGGTGACCTTGCCAGCTCTACCTTCACACAGACCCTAAATCCTAAGCCCGTATTTCACCCTGCCCAGTGCCCTCGGAGTGGCCGTCCTCTCCCACCTGGACCACCTCAACACCTTCCTGCAGCCCATTCTCCAAAGAGTGGACACAGTGGCTTAGAAACCCTCCAAAATCCCATCACAGCCTCCAGGAGCTGCCTAGCTCACCTCCCTCTAGCCTCTGCTTCTGCTCCCCGGCCTCCTTACTGTGCCCTCAACACCCTTGGTGTTCGTGCAGCTCCCTTGGGCCACTCAATGGGCTCAAGACCTTTCCGGGTGGTCCTGTTCACAGAAATGCTGTTGCTCTTCACCTCCAGCCGCCCCGTTTCTCCAAAGCACCGACATCCTGTGCTACTTCAGCTGCTTCCTGAGGTTTTCTGCAGCCTCACTGGAGCGTGGAAGCCACGAGGAGAGGCCCTGTGTTCTCCAGTCAGCACCTGCTCAGCACATACAGAAGCCTCTGTGGAAGGCCCGGATGAGCCTGTACCCACGATCCCACCCCTACCGTGTGCCAGGCTCTCGCCGATCCCTGTAGAACACACACACAAGGGGCTGTGGAGCCTGAGACAAGTCCTGTCACTCCCCGGTTTGTAAAAATTTTTATAAACTTCCTTATAAATTCTTAAGTTACATTTTATGCTACATTATCACTGGTGGTTTAAAATGTGTAATTTTTAAGTGATATAATGTTGACCTGAGAGATGTAGAAGAAACAAATGTTTCACTGGGAAGTCTGTACATAGTATCAAATATGGGCTCATCAGAAATTGCACATAAATAGTATCATTTAAATGCTTGTATCGAGTCCCTGTTGCCATTTTAATGTGAGAGCACAGACTAGGTTTCAGTTCCAGTTCTCTCGTACACAGCCTGGAACCTCAAGCAGGTTCTGAATTTACTGAACCAATGATAAAATAATTTTTCAGTGTCCTAATTTATAAAATTCAAGAATATGAAAGTATAGAGGCCACTCTTCCCCTTGAAAGGAAAGCACATGCTCAAACACAAACACCACCTGGTTTCCAAAGTTTATTAAAAATCAAAGAATAGAAAACTTTACATAAAAATATGTCAATTTTAGCTTCCACATTGTTGTCCACACACACAAAAAAAATTGAAACATGATATCTCTTTGTTAAACCTGTAGCGCGTGACCACAGTGGTAGCCAGGCCAATTCATTCGGTTCACCATGACGGGGATGGAGCATAGCGCCGTGTCTGTGATCGAGCTTTCAAATGCCCACCCCACGGGACACTCGCCACCGTCCCCGCAGTGGTTTCCTTAATGGAGGTTACAGTCAATATTGCTAATGCGTAGATTAGTACAGGCCTACGTATCAGTTTTTATAAATATTTCTTTATCAATAGGTTCACAATTTAAATAGCTTTAAATATTGTGATAACTTTCGATCATCAAGAACTGCAGACAAAGTGTGCTACTCTACTCTGGAAGCCTCCTAGAGACCCTGCAGTCGCAGGCGGCAGCTCTCAACGATAATGTGGGCCAGTCCCGCTTCAGAAAGGCAGACTGCAGACAGGCCAGAGCTTGTCCTTTCTGGGCGTCCATCACATTCGGATATCACTCTAGAATTCCCCACTTCCGCACTTCAATCAGGTGTCATGGGAACAAGTTTCTCGTCTCAACATTCTCCACTAGTGGACTTCAAGACCAACCTACCTGTAGTGTTCAGCAGGCCAGAACCCCCATTTAAAAATGGGAAGTCCGAGGACCTACGAGATGCAGCTAACTCCCAGGACAACTGTGGTGCTCCGAGAACTCAGGGTTAGGCAGGATGGATATATTCTTGTTCAAGAAAAGGTAACAAAGACAGTGGTTGTCATGGCAGAAACACTTGCATAGTATACCTGTATGCTTCTCAGGTCGGGCGCCGCCGCTCCCGGGCCCCACGCTGGGCTGTGCTCTCCTGCAGTACATTGCAAATGCTCCCCCGGCGCACTGAGCAGCTGAAGTACTTCTCGTATATTTGCTCTTAACAGAACGAATGCATACTGCTATACAGATTCCTCAATGGAATCAACATAATTCCTTTCTCCACATTCCTAAAACTGGGTACCATTGTCCGTAATGATATTCTCCAGACCATTACAGGCTATGTTACTAAAACTGACTGAAGCATTTCAGAGTTCACATTTTTCTTTTAAAGATTTTATAATGTGACAACCTTTTCTCCCCTTAGAAAGTTATACTTCTGGCACTTTAAATGCTGGATTTGTTGTGTAGTTTAAAAGAACTCAAAACCAAAATATTAAAACTCCGTGGTCAGAGCGAGACAACAGACAGGCCGGACAGCAGAGCCGGCGGCAGCTGGTCAGAAGGCTTGGGGCCAAATCCCTTCAGAAAACCGTGGGGGCAACTTGGCTCCTTCACCACGAACTGAGAGGCCTCCCGTCTGACCGAAAGAAAAAACATAAAAATAAACTCCAAACCCCTCATTCATGGTGTTTGTAACGATGCTCATCAGACAACCAGCCGACACGATGAACCCAACTTAGAAAATGCAACTCGGGAAAGGATCTAAGCTTGTTTAAAAAAAATTCCCTCCTCCCTTAAATATAACTTATGTGAAAATATGAAATTAAATAAAAAATATCTGAGTTATTGCACAAATCATAAGTTTTCAATATTTACATAGAAAAACAGTTCTGAAACTTGAAACAAAACGTGAGGGCAGTAAAACAATGACGACCTCCCAACCCTAGGCGTTGAGGAAGAAGCGAGGACGGGCTGGGTCTCTGGTGTTGACAAACGTGAAATGAAAACACTCAAACCGCAGGGGAACAGACACGGCAACTGGGAAACGCCACGGCTACTTCCCGCCCCTGCAGCTCCTGGTTCAGACCGGCTCCGGCACTGAAGGAAGAATCCTGGGAAGGCAGAAACAGCATCCACGGTTAATAAGGCTTCACAGATGAGCACAAGGAGCTGTTCTTTAGGATGGACGTGACCACCACACAAGGAACATGCAGAGTGATCAGCAGCGGGCGTTCCGAGGGGCCCGGCTGATGTGCTGGATGCTGGTCTCAGTTCCCGGCCGGGCGCCGAGGCCCCCGGCGTCAGTCCGTGCAAGGGTGGGGCTGGGCGGTGTCTCCAGGAGCTATTATCTGCTGAGACTGACAGGCAGGCTGTCCCTCGTGTGTGTGTGTTTTTTCCTCCTCCAGCCAGTGCGGTTGTACTGGTGGTGTCCCCTGTTGCCCACAGGGGGCCGCACGCCTCCACTGCCCACAGAGCTGTAGCTGCCACCTTGGCTGTGGTTGTGAGAGCCCTTCATGGACAGTTTCATGCCGCTGTGCTGCTAAAGAGACAAAGAGGGATAGCAAGGTTGGAGGCTGGCTTGGAGACAGCAGAGGCCACTGCTATGGGGGCCACACCCCATCCCAGCTCCTGTGGAGCTGGCGCAGTGAGCCTAGGCGACCACGAGCTGCGTCCCTCTCTACTGGAGAGACAGCAGAAACTGCAGACGGTGAGAACGTGCAGATGCTGTGCACGACTGACAGGCAGACCTGTCACCACTGCACATGGTAAGTGTCCACAGGATACCCACAGATGCAAGAGCTGACAGAAAGCCAAACTCTTCCATGTCGTAGTAACCACTACCTCCGAGACAAAAAGCATTCTTCCCATTCAGAGACTCATTGCAGGTAGGAACGGGGACCTGTATCAAACTACACACATTCACATCCAAACACATGCAGAATCGCACTTCTATCTGGTTCTATCTGTTCACTGTGATAGGAGGGTCCCTCTCCTCTCATTTTCTGCCCCCCAACTTCAACACTGACATTCTGGAAATTTTCTCTGGGGCTGGGACTCGAGCCCTTAGCAGGATGCCCTCTGCACATGCAGCAGCAGGCAGCCAGGTTGCTCCCACACTGTGACACCACAAGCAAAGTAGACAGGAAAAAACAGCCAGTTTCAGGAAGGTTTCAGAGGCAAACAAGCAGCAGAGGGGGTTGAAAAGGAAAGCCGAAATGCAATTACGGGAGGGTGTTCCCTTCAGCAAAGTTATTTCACTGGAACATTTCTGATAGGTCAGCGTGACATGCCTGGTAATGCAGCGAAATGCCGTCGTGACAGGATGGGTAATCCGAGGAGGAATGTTCTGTTATCTAACTCTACATTAAAAAAATCATCAGGGGGCCGGCCTGGTGGCATAGTGGTTGTTTGCACACTCCACTTTGGTGGCCCAGGGTTCACCAGCTCAGATCCCGGGCGCAGACTCAGCATTGCTTGTCAAGCCATGCTGTGGTAGGCATCCCACATATAAAGTAGAGGAAGATGGGCATAGATGTTAGCTTAGGGCCAATCTTCCTCAGCAAAAAAGAGGATTGGCTGTGGAGGTTGCTCAGGGCCAATTTTCCTCAAAAAAGAAAAAATCGTCAGGACTTAATAACATAGGTCCAAAGAACCAGTCCTCAAAGATCAAAATTCTACTGGCACAATATGACTAGATAAGCAACAGAGGCACCGCCTGGAGTAACTGAGATGGACGCTGATGGTGCAGCAGACGTTAGAGCCCAGGGGAAACCACGCGGTGTCCCTGTAGGGCACCCGACATCTACAGGAAGAATCTGTGACAGTCCCTGCACACACTGGGGCCCTTAGAGAGCACCGCAACTTAACAATGACCCATGTTGCTGCTACACAACAGTCTCTAACGTGTGGGTCTGGACTTAGAGAAGCCACAGAGAATGGATATGCGCCATCACAGGGACCCCCGGGACCAAACCAAATGCGGCCCGCGGCCCATCCCCACCCAGGGGCACCCTCGGCAGAGTCAGGAGGGAGTACAGCTGCGGGAACAACACCACGCGTGGGCCGAGTCAACAGCTGTTCCTGATTTTCTCGTTTACTTCTTGGAAACCCAAGTTTTTAGCATACAGACTGACAGACAAATGGGGAAACAAAGCATCCTTCGCTTGGAACCTTATTTCAAACTTCAGTCTTATGCTAACAAGGTCAACAGAAGAATTAAGAAAGGTGCTTGTGAGATAAATTAAACCATATTATATTTTGAAATTATTTCTTAACACTTCGCAAGTTTTGTTTGTTACAAGGGAAAGCAAACAGGAAGCCGAACGAGCAGAAAACAAATTCCCTTCTCCAAAAGTCTGTGCGGGGTTTCCTCAGACAGAGGGGCGTCAAGCCCAGGCCTAGCAGAGACGGCTCCGGTGGGCACGCGGGCGGATGGAGACCTACCTTATGATACAGGTGGGGGCTCGAGAGCGGGTTGGGAGACGCGGACGGAATGGCTGGGGAAGACAGGTGGTGGACGGCTTTCAGCGCCGGAGTTCCTTCAACGCCAACTTGTCTGCAAGGAACGGGGGCCACCCCGAGGGTCGGTGGAGGCAGCGTAAACCTGGTCTAGGAACAGAAGGACCAGAGACACCCGTAAGGCACCCACCCGGCAGAGGTGCACAGTCCCAGTTCTAGCACTGAGCACCGAGAAGGGGGGGCCCTGCTTCTGAACAGCCTTTTTCAAACAGGCTCATTAATATAGTCTGTGTTTTACTATAATCTCACAAGATTTTGTCTGACTCAGAAACATTTTATATTCTGAAACAGCAATTACAATATAAAGTATGCCCAATAACCCAAGTCAAAAAGTTTTAATTTTCATTGAAGACTAAACAACAATTCCAAAGAATTACCATCACCAGAAGAACGACCGTCGCTCAGACCTCTGGAAGCAGCCCTCGGACCAGCCCCTCCCCACAGAGGATCAGATACCGGGAGAAGGCCAGCCTCCTCACTGCTCCAGCTCCTGGACTGCTTCTATTTCTGCATCGCCCTTCCTGTCACGGCACAGGGGTGCTGGCGCGAACCCTTCTCCCTCGGACTTTCAAGAACTGCTCACATCTTGAAATCACATGCGTTTGCCCTAAAGAGCTCTAGAGAGTGACTGTGGCCCCCCAAGGGCAGTGGATGGAGCAGGAGCTGGGGTCTCCACAGAGAGTGCTCGGGGCCTGACACAAGCAGCTGCAGGGGCTCTGGGGGTTATAAGGCACATGCAGCAACCCTTCCTCACGCTTTACCGAAGCTCCCGCGTCACCTGCCCCATGTCAGGGCCTGTAACACACCCATGGCCTCTTCTGGGTGGGGGCTCCGCTCCCCAGGGGCACGGGGCACAGAAAGAGTCCCCTCCTGGAAGACCCTGGCAGCTTCGTGTCCCCAGCTCTAAGTGCCCCATCTCATCCCAAGTGGGCAACTTCATCACCTTGTGAGCTGCAAGGGAGAGACTGCGCACGTGACCTTTTAGAATGGGTTTTACTTAGTTACTCTGCTGGAAGTAATGTTTGAAGTTTGGACATAAATGACAAAGTGGGCTCTGAGCCCTGTCTTAAAACTTGAATCATCTTGGCTGTAGTCTCACTCACTGTTAGCCTAAGTGACAGATGGGCCCACGGCAGCAGCATGTGACCTTCAACCTATCCCCCTGACGTTCCTAGACTTCCTGCTGGAACAGCACAGGCAGCATGGGCTGGGTGGCTGCTCAGCGGCTGCAGCGGGCCCCCGACGGGGCTGAGCCCCAAGGAAGGTGAAAACCAATGACACGGGTGAGGGACGCCACAGCCAATGCGACTCCCAGAGTTTATCTGTGGCAGAATTTGTGTCACAGCATAGGCAACTGCCTCAGCATTCTATATTGATGTGCTACTTGAAGTTTTCTGGGGGGCTGTGTTGACTGCCACTGCCGCCTGGGTGTCACGGGCTTGCTGCACTCGGTCCTCCCTGAGGCTGGGGTGCCTGTGAGAACGCCCTCCCAGGCAGAGGGCCCAACAGAGAGAAACAGGGCAATACGCTGCTCTATGCTCAAATTATAACCCACGTCATAGAGACTGGCTTTACTTTAAAAGTAAATTAATGTGACGGGTTTTATATATTTACATATTCACTGAAGTATACTTGGTAAGTGTAAAAAAATGTAATTTTTTGAACTTGCCTTTGAGACTTCTAATTTTGTCTAAATTAAAAAAAGAGGATACACAACCAGAAGGGCCTACAGCTAGAATATACAGCTATGTATCAGGGGGGTGGGGAGAAGAAGAAGGAGAAGAAGAAAAAAGAAAGGAAGATTGGCAAGAGATGTTAGCTCAGGTGCCAATCTTTAAAAAAATAAAAATTAAATATTAAAAAAAAAGAAGACAGACTCTAACAGAAAAAGCCCTATAAATACTGCCTAATGAATGTCGTGAAAAAGTTAAGGTTTATATTAAAAACTTTTTAAGAGGGTAACCCTGAGATTCTGAGAGGACAGCAGGGACAAATGTCCATTTCTGCCCAGGGATGACCTCAAAGTCCTTCTCTCCAACACGACCCCAGGACAGCGGGCTCACGCTGGACATCGACATAACATGCAGAAAGACAGTCAATTCAGACGTGGTCGAAAGCTGATTCAGTGCTCAAGAACTGGGAGCCACCTCGCTGCAAACACTGTGCCTGGGGGGCCTCGACAAAACATCCTTTATACGACAGGAGTTACATCCTGTTGAGCCGCAACAGACGAGAACTTCCTACAAAATAGCACTGTACCTTCCGAAGATTTTTAATGTCCTTTTTCTAATCTGAATTACTTTTGAAACTATCAGCCACTCCGACAGCATGTAACAGCTCAGACACGGTTCCTGGGGACCCATCATCAGGATGGCCATCAGCGGCCACGCACCTGAGTGTTGGTGGTCATGACCAATGTTCTGGAAGTGGTGGGCTGAGGTTTGCCACTGGGCATCGGCAAGGCGGCAGGCAAGCCGGCCAGCAGGGGAGTCGGTGCCTGTAGACTGAACTGGTAAACGCTGGGTGTTGTGCAGGGTGGCGTGTCGGAATCCTAGAGAAGAAACACAGCACGGAGAGCTGTACCCAGCGGCACTTCGCTTCCTAAAGCGAGGGAGGAAGGGACCGCGCGGCCAGCTGGCCAAGCTATTACAGCACATCCCAAACTGCAGCCCAACGACAGGCAGCCCCACCTGCCCCAACGTCCTTCAGGTCAGTTCAAAACTGAGGAAGCATGAAAAGGAAACGCAGGAGAGACACTCAGACTTAATGTTTTATCTCCAAGCAAGTTTTTAAGAAACTACTCCAGGAAGTCCACTGTAGTTCTGCTGTGAATGGCATTACTGCTCCCGAGGGCCACAGACTGGGGCTCCCCCAACTGTCACCGAGGCTCAGGGCAGAATGGGGACCACTCAGTGCAGACTTGGGGTGGCCTTACACACACACACACACACTCAAAGACAGTGATAAAGACAAAAGGGGAGGTCAAGTTTACACTCACTGCTATCGCTGTTTTCCAGAAACAAACCACGCAGCAGACACACTCACAATGTCACTTCCAGAGAGCGAAGACACCGAAGAAGCAGATGAGCCGGAAGAGAGCAGCTGGGGGCTGGGCAGAGACAGGGCCAGGCGCTGGCTGTAGGGCGACTCGGGGTCTCGGCGCTGGGGCTGCTCCCCGTCGCATGCGCTTACTCGCTCTTTTATCTTAATTCTATTGTCTGCAAGGGAATAAAGTGTCGTTGTCACGAAGTAAGAGCGCAGATGTGACTGCCCAACAGGACAGCCACCGACCAGAGGTGCTCCTGAGCCTCAGAACGTTGCTAATGAGACTGACAAGCTGAATTCCTAATTTTAATTAATTTGATTTTTTAAATTATATTTGTTTCAGTTATTGGAAAACACTTAAATATGTTTGGAACAACTGGGTGTGCAAATAGTTTTCAACTGTAAATTTTATGAAACCCAAATAAAGATCAAGTATTTGAGGTGAAAACTTAACATCTTAATCACGATGTGCTGTAAGTATAAAAACAACTGGATTTCAAAGATGTAGCACAAAAAAAAGCTGCAAAATATCTCAAAATTTTTTATGTCGATTACACGTTGAAACGTTAATACTTTGAACACTAAGCTGAATAAAATACCTTGTTAAAATTAATTTCAGCTGTTTCTTTTCACATTTTTAATGCAGTTACTAGGAACTTTAAAATTCCATGTGTGGCATGCATTGTATTCCTACTGGACAGTGCTGGTCTAACTCTTACAGTGTTAAACTCTTACAGAAAAACTAGGTATTTCCTGGGTTTGAACAATTTGCCATTAAGGGACAAAGATACTCCCGCACAAACGGTCAGGAGGTGAAGAGAGCATGACGGAGCTAAGCTCTCACCCAGATCCGGCGCCGGGTGGGCCTTGCTGCCCCACTTCTCCTTGATCCACCTGCGGTAGTCGATCACTTCCTGAGTTACTTTGATGATTCTCCCTAAAGTACTGCAAAAGGACGACAATGGAAATCAACATACAGTAGTACAATAGGTATCACGGGGCCCAAAAATCCTTTGGAGTAGCTACTTTATAACAATGCATCACTTTGCTAAGTGAAAGACAATATAGTAAAAAAGGTGAAATAGCTTACAAAATATGTATGACTTCTGATGTTTGAGCCCAAATGTACTTTGAGATCACAGTATAGAAAAAGTAGGTTCACTTATGTAGAAGTCCTTGAACGCACATCTGTCTACAAAGGACCGTGCCAATCCAGCACCTACGTAGGGAAGCCCACCGCCCACCCACGGCAGTGGCTGAGGCCTGATTCCCGTTCTCCACTGCACGGGCGAGAACGAGCAGACTGTGCAGGAGTCACTGAGCTCCCACCCCAGGGCTCAAACCTCTGCCTGAAAACACGGACTGGACAGAGGCCATGAAACCCATGACAAGCTCTACTACCACTGGCGCCAGGCCTCAACAGTTACTTAGTCCACAACCCGCCCAAGGAACAGGGCTAACGGCACTGTGTCAGCTGCCACCTCCGACAAGCATATCATTCTTCCCTCCCAGTCCCCCCAGCTCCCTCCCTCCGTCCCCGAATCCCACCACCTCCACACAACAGCATAATCTGGGGTGAGAATAACTATTTCTCACTACCAATAAAAGCGTACACTGCCAAAGTGTTCCAAGATGGAAAATGAGGGACGACTGTGCATAAGAGACAAGGGCTCGGTGAGGCCTGTGGACGCGGGCGACACTCACTCAGAGCTGCACATCCACACTGTGAGGACTGCCGAAGAAACAGCACGAGGCGCCAAAGCTGTAAAAGCCAGAAATCACCTCCCCAAAACAAAACACCCTGAAGAAAACGTCAACTCCGCGAATAAGAGGTTTTCAACTCGTGACATGGATGAATGAAATACGGCCTCCTGAACTCCTGAAAGGTCTTCCCTTACCAATATTTTCAGGTTCTACCAATATATGATAGCACATCCATTAATAAACTTCAAGGAAGCAAACGCAGAGGCAAGGGGGGCCAGCTTTGTAGAGGCTAATGAGGCCAGGAACTGCCAGGCCACAGGCGCCGTGCACCCAGGATGGTGACACAGGATGTCTGTTACCTTTCAGAATCTCGGTTTGGATAGGATCTCGCAAGTGGCGACACGGCGTGACTGAGGACGATGTAGGCGTAGTCAAACACCTGCTTCACCTGCATGGCCCCGTAGGAGCTTCGGCCAACGTCATTTCCTGAAACAGAAAGGCAGCTGCAAAACTTTGCCCAACATCTGAGCCACTAGTCTGACGTTTTTGATCTTCTTAGATAAGCTATTCTGAAGCGGGCTCTCCCCATTGAAACCGCCAGATCCCACCAGCAAGGCCAAATCAGGACCTGCAGACGCACTGCTGATCACCCACACGAATTTCACGGTGTTCTCGGGCTGAGGAGCCGATCTGCATCATCAGAGCACGTCTACCTCCATGTACAAGATGTCATTCACTGAGACGGAGTGACAATTCATGAACGAGTCAGGGAACTCCCCAGGTGGCAGAAAACACAATGGAGCCCAAGCAGCAACCTTAGTCAACTGTGGGGGCGCTGATGGAAGGCGCCACGGCGGGCAGTTAACGTGGGCACATGTGGGTACAGTCAGCACCAATGGGGCCTGCAGGAAGCAGTCCTCTAGGGGAGAATGTTCCAGGTCTGAACTCTCGGGTGCTGGGAACCAGACAGGCAGCACATCCATCACCTGAAGCCATCACTGAACTCACCGAGTGTGCAACAGCCAAGGAGCTTAACTTTTATAAGGATACCATAGCTTCTAATTTTAATTCACATGTAATTCCTTCACAATTTAGGTAAGTATGTCTGTTTTAGAAGACATAATTCTAAGTATTAGAATTTTATCTTTTCCAGATTTAATAATATAATCCAGTGATAATGCAAATTTTCACTTTTCAAGTATATTTCAGCAGACACTGAAGACAATGGAAATGTCTCCAATTTAACTGAAGCAGAGACCAACAGGTGATGAAAACCTGTCATACTACGCTGCCGGGAGAATCACCACCGAAAAGCACAGCACTAATCCTGCCATTTACAGACAACAGAAAAGAACAGTAAGCAAGTTTTCTCTCAAAAGATTTTTAAGAAATAAATTTCATACCCCAAAAGCCATAAAACAAAACAAAAGATCACTGAATGTGGAAATATTAAAAATATACAGGGGCTGAACAACCAAAGAAACTCAAATACAGCTGCAAAAGACAAACTGGGGTGAGAAAGAGGACAAAATAACAAGAAAGGCCTTCCTCACACACGCAGGACAGCACAAGGTCGGAAGAAGAGTGCAGCAGACAGACAAAGCACACGAACTCACACAGAAAGACAGACAAAGGGGCAGTGTACCTGGAGCTGACCTTCTCCACCACCTTTTCTGTCACCTGTCCGTCACTGACTTTATCACCAACAGTAAGAACAGTCTCACCTAATAGATGCTCAATAAACATTTGTGGAATTGATAAATAACAATGTGTTTAACCTCACTAATCATTAAAGAAATGTAAACTAAAAGAAAATTTATATTGTATGGTCTTATCAGATTGGCAAAGATTTAAAAACTGTCACTGAAAGCTTGGGGACACGAGCACCCTTAAATACACTCCTGGGAACAAGGCTGCACACACTGGAGCCCTGCCTCTGGCTCTTCAGTGTGGCAATCCCTACAAGGGAGCGCAGCCTATGCACACGAGGAAGGGGTCTTAGGTATACTGTTAAGGAAAAAAATGAGTTGTAAATCTGTTTGTATTACATGATGCCATTTAATTAGTAAGACTGCAATAATAACTGTTAATATCCATGCAGGGAAAAAATTGGAGAACTACACACCAAAACGGAGGGGACTATGGCATACTACGATTTTCTATGTGACATACTTCTTGGAAGTAAATGGTTTATGATGAATATGTAACACTTTTCTAATGAGGAAAAAGTAAACTTTTTTTCTTAATTCTCACTTTCTACATTTTTTCTGGTTGATTACAGAATGTAAACAAAATTGCAAGTTTTAAGTTAATGAGAAGCATTAAACAAGGAATTCTGAAAGTGTTGCCACAAACTCTTTTAGTACAGAAGGAATCTGCAACAGATCAAATGAATGGCCCTTGGCTCCTGGGGCTGCAGACACGGTCCACCAACGCCTGGCTCAGGGCAAGTGTGGGGCGAGGCGCCCTTACCAGGCAGCAGGGGGTCCTCAATGCACAGCATCGAAGGTCTGTACCCGCTGGTCATGGCTTTCATGATCTCTTCTTTGGCGATATAGGCACCTCCCTCTTTTATTCTAATACCAGTTTTCAAGTAATTAAAATTTCTTCCATAGAGTTCAAAAAATTCTACAAGAAGCATTCCAAGGTTTTCATCAGCTCTCCGGGCGTCAATTCTTGGATGCAACTGTAAAAGCAATACATTGACAGTTTGTATTCAAGTCATTTTCTAAAGAAGATAAAGTCCACTCTCCAGCGGTCTCTTTCAGGAAACGACATCTGGGCACCTGCTCACTCACCAGCACCGTGAGGATGCTCTGAATGGCAGCAAGGAGGCACTAACAGAGCCCGGAGAGCCTTTGTCAATAAACAGCATCCAAAAGAAATCAAACTTTTTAATCGCAATTTTTTTTTATTATACTTTAATTCTTTGAAATGTGTAATCTATATAGCAACTTCCTAAAAACACAGACATCTGATTAACCACAAGCTCCCAAATACAATAAACGAGTGGACCATATTCTGCACGAATGAGAGTCACCTAGATGGTGAATGTAATTTCAAATTCAAACTTTTACTTCCATTATCCCAAAATACAACCAATAGGGGGCAGTATTAGACTGATTAGCATCACAGTATGACATAAACCACAATATGAAGGGATTAATTTTAACTCTATAGGCAATCAGTGTTTATCATAACCTTTACAGCAGACTTACATCCTGCCTGTCACACAGATGAGGGTCAATCCAGTTCAGCACCACACTTTCTTTAAGCAGGAGTAGACTTACTCTCCTGACACCCTCCGAGGGTCACTGATTTACAAGGCTCACCAAAGTGAGCAACGCAGACCTGTGCTGCCCAGTATGACAGCCAGAAGCCACATGTGGCTATTTGTTTAAATGAATTATAACACATTAACTACAAGCTCAGTTTGTCAGTCTTGCTAGCTACACTGCAAGTGCTAGGGAGGCATGCATGGCTACTGCGCAGACAGAACACTGCCAGCTGCACAGCGAGCCACAGTGGACAGTGCTGATCCAGAAAACGACGGTCACGTCCACATGAAAGTAAAAGTCCTGCTGGAAGCTCACGACTGAAAATATTTATAATGCAGAGCTCCACGGGGAAATATGCCTTCTAAAGTCTACAAGCATTTTTAGGATTCAGAGGAATTTTAGCTTCTGAGGAGCTGCATGTTCCAAAGCCACAAGGGTAGCACTCTTGTTCTTGCCTCCCCCATTCCTTTCCTTCCGCCTTACTTGAAGTCAAAATCACATACCGACAGCCCACCTGTGCAAGGCTGGGCCTTCCCACCTCAACGAGCCTTGAGATGAAGGCACATGCTACAACAGTCTCAGCTCTGAAGCAGGAAAGGCAAGGCACTAAGGGATGTGGAGATGACAACGGCGACCCCACACACACTAGATGTAGGCTTCCGTGGGGTCACAGGACCACCACAGGGACCTCATGGGGTAAAGCGACACGAGGCACGGAGCCCAGCACCCGGCATGAAGAAAGGCAGGAGGAGTCATCAGTACAAGGCTACAGAACTAGTTCAAATCAGGAACGACAAGGAAATAAGAAACAGAAGGCTGTGTTTAAAACAAAATAATGTCCAAGAAATAGGGCAGAATGGCTTAAGGGCAGCACTGCAGAGGTGAGAGTGGAAGATAGGGCAATGAGATAAAGACTCTAAGGGAGCAGGCACGAATTCCCTTTTCACTATTCTTACAGCATCTCTGCAGAGACAGGCCAAGGAAGCCAAAATAATTCAAGGTGGTGTGACCAGCAGTTCTACTGACTGTCACAGCAGTATTAGTGATAATAAGAACAACCAAAGTCTGGATACAAAACCCTAAGCATAATCACAAACAAAAAATTAATGATAAACATGAGAAGCAGTGTTGTGCAGCTAAAATACACAGACAAGATTTACTCAAGAAAACATAAATGGGACAATGTTTCAATTAACTTAGAAACTCTTTTATATGTTAAAAAAGAATTAGTATCGGGGCTGGCCCCGTGGCCGAGTGGTTAAGTTCGCGCGCTCTGCTGCAGGCGGCCCAGTGTTTTGTTGGTTCGAATCCTGGGCGCGGACATGGCACTGCTCATCAGACCACGCTGAGGCAGCGTCCCACATGCCACAACTAGAAGAACCCACAACGAAGAATACACAACTATGTACCGGGGGGCGTTGGGGAGAAAAAGGAAAAAATAAAATCTTTAAAAAAAAATTAAAAAATAAATAAATAAATAAAAGAATTAGTATCCTTTATCAATACATCACAGCATTTAACACTTAGGCAGGTTTTCCATTGACAGATTTTCCATGGTACTCAACAAAATAAGGGAAATATATAATTCAAGACAAAATATTGATGTTTTGTCAATCTGAGAAGGTTCTCTTTTCAGTATTTCTTACCATATATGGTACCAATTTTTTTTCTGAGATAAATTTCTCAGTATAAATCATAGTCAAGAAGCAAGAAAAGCAGCGTCTTCTGGTCTATCAAGGCATGCAAGTTTTCTAAATGTAAAGGGTGTTTCCTCAAGTTTAGATCGACACACACTTGACTAGTAGACCCAGATAAGCCTCCCTTATCTAACAGTTAAATCAACTGCAAAGATGAGCTGTAAAGGAACAGAAGGAAAGAAGGACTGATCAAAATAGAGTTCTGTTATGCAAATTAGAAGTCAACTTCCAGGACACCAGGACACCAGAACGTAGCAGTGAAGGGTAACCAGGACCCCGCAGGAATCCAGGCGGCAGCTGGAGGAACCTACCCCTGCGCAAGCCTCAGTGTCAGCATTTCCCGAGAAAGCACACTCACCTGTAGAAAGCTAATGGCCATTAAAATTAGGCTGTATGAGCTAATTCCGCCGGTAAAAACTTCATTCAGGTCCCTCTGCAGGAGGAACTGTTTCAATACTAAAATCAAGTAAGGCAGCAATGAATATTTCTGTAAATCCAAAAAGAAAGATATTTACTGGTTAGTTAATGTGCCTTTGAAGACTTCTCAACACAGCAAATTTCACATGGTAGAAAGGAAAGCTTACTCAGTCCTCTTGTCCCTCAGAAGGCTCTAGGCCAACCATCCTCAAACTTTAGGGGCCTGAGAACTATGAGAGGGGCTCCTTCAGACCCTGGTGGGGAGCCCCATCCCAGGTTACGGTTCTGCAGGGATGAGGGGGGAACCCTGCATGAGGCGTCCCCAGGCAAAGAGGAGCTCGGGGGAATGAGTGAGTGCACACTTTCCAGTATTCCCACGGCCCGCTCCACGAAGGCGCAGGGCCCTGTGGGCAGCGGGCAGACACCAGTGAGCAAGGGAAGGCCCTGGACCCAAAGTGTGAAATCCCAACACTGAGAGGCCCCAGAAGAGGCGCAAGTGCGGGGGTGGTACAACTCGTGAGGCAGGAGGACAACAGCAGAACGAGGAGAGCAGGGTGAAGATAATGAGCACAGGCAGAGAGGTCGGAGGAGGGGTGGAGGACAGGGGGAGCTTCTGTGGTTTCTCATGTTCTGCTGGGGTACAAACAATCGTCAGACAAGCCTGACGATGCAGAGGACAGAGATGGTCCTGAAACCGTGGGATGAGGAACACTCAGGTCACGGTGCTGGGGTTGCCTCTGGGATGGATTTCACCACTTCCACTCTAACAGGAGGGAAAGACCACCTGTGCAGCTGGACCACATGTCTGCTCAGAGTCCAAAATCCGTCAGCCCATGAGCAAGTCTGCTCTCCCACCCTTAGGCAGGGAGGTCTCCAGAGTAAGCCAATCTAAACCACCTCATGACGCACTCAACTTCCAACAGACTAACTTTGCAAATCGGGCATGCTGAGCTACAGGGACAGTCATTTTGCAATAATACGAAGAACACTAGCAAAGTTCTCTAAAATAACGCTTAACTTTATGAAATACTTAGCCAAGGAAAGTCAATCTGCAAAACAGCCATGTAATTTCAAAGGATCTCTAGAAATAATATTGTAGGATAAATAATTCAAGTGTATAGTTTCTATTATTAAAGACTATCATTCAGTTTAAAGTTTCTAACATTGTAAGAGAACTAAGACCCAACATCACAGTCCCTTCTTTTTACTGTGCTAACTGACGACCTTCATATAATTCTTGATGAACTCCGCTGCCCGGACCCCGGTCTCCATGTTAAAGCTGATGTCAACTTTCACTTCAGTCTCCTGGTCTGTGAGTTTTATTATTGGTACCTGCAAAGATTTAATTTAAAAAATTGTGATTTAATACACAGCATTCTTCACGGTCAGGCATCACAATGCTTCCTAAGTTGTACAAGGGGTTTCCCTTTCCCTTATTCACAAAAAGGGTTTAGAGATCACGAACCCCTGATTTTAAAGATGAGAAGAAAGGGGACTTTGCCAACGTTAACCTCATCAGTCCCCGGCACCCAAGACTGCTCCCCACGCCCAACAACAGTCAGTGCTCACCTCTGCCCGCCCTGCTGGCCTGACTCGGCCCCTGCTGGTGGCCGAGCATCAATCAGGGCCACTGTCTGCAGGAAGGCCCGGACTCCGCAGGCCTGCCTACCACGAGGAGAAGCTGGCTAAGTCCCTGTGCCACGAGTGCCTGGTGATGCAGAGGAGCTCCTGGTCCCCAAATTATGTTTGCTAGAATTTCTGAAAACATTCAAAGTAACTTCAAAGCCATTTTTTAAATTATATTTTGTACTAACGTTTCCCCAAATAATTCTACTTTGTGTTCTCACTCTTTAAGACAATTTAACTAAAAAAAAGACTCTTTCCCAGAAAAATCAGAGAATAAAAGGCTATTTTGGAAAGACTTTCATCAACAAGAATTATCACCAAAAGGCACTCAAAGGCAGCCTCATAAAACCTGCCCAAGCAACCATTCAGACCACACTCCTTCCTGCCCCACACAAAACTGTGTCCTTCCAGAAGAAGGAGCAATGCTTCATCTCCTTCAGCCTCTAAGGAATAAAACAAGGATGTCTCCCTCATCAAAACAATCGGGGTCTAATGAAAGGGCTACAACATCCAGCAGAAGTCAGTGCAGGAACATGCTCTTCAGCGCACATCGGATCTAGGATCTAAAACACGCACCTGGGCGCAAACTGCCACGGGCACACGTGAGGGGGATAGGCCAGCAGGTGGTGCTAGTAACCCCGGAGACCACTGAGGCCACCAGGCAGGGTGAGCCACAGCTGGTGAGGTCCAAGAAGGCAGACAAACAGAACACTTTCCCAAAGAACTTACCAAAATGGCTTCAGACAAACGTCCATACCCCCGCCACATAACAAATTCCTCACGCAGAAAACACCTCCTTCCCTACCCCGCAGGCCCAGCCGGAAGAACCGTCTTTTCTGTACTCAAGGATTTCTTTCCCAGAATCACTCCTGGCACTCTCCTGCCTTACTTGTACTCATTACATGTACACACACTCCTGTACACTCGCAGGTTGAACCCCAGACTCTGGAGATAGTAGTAACACTGTAATACTGACTTCTCAGTGGTGGTTCAACACAGACAAGCTTTCGCCTTGACCACAGCCTTCACGCCGGGCTCTGTAGCCGGTGCTAGGATGACAGTGAAGCTGCCCAGAGGAGGGCTGCCCAGCAACAGCTGGCGCTCATAGAAAGGAGATTGGGTGGAGGAGCACGCTTGGTTCTCCTTGGTCTACGCTGAATCTCTGGCAGCAGAAAAAAAGGCGTGCGGCAGCAATGAGGCCACTGTGACCATGCAGTTAATGCAACAACCACTCCGTGTACTGTCTGTCCTTAAGAATGTTTTGAAACCCAGGACAATCAGGCATGGCCTCTTCAGCTCCTCTAGATCTAAACAAGGATACCTGGTCAGAGACCACCACCCACCTCATTCTCATCAAGGAGCCAACACAATGGGACAAACGTTAGAGCCACAAGGGGCAGGGCTGGAGGGCCTCAGAGACCGCCACGAACCCTCCCAGCGTGAGGTGAGGTGAGAGGGCACGGCACTCGAGGGAGAGAGTGAGGCAGACGGGGATACGGCAGGGATCTCACCATCCACAGTGGAAGCCCAGGCTAAACCAAGGCGCTGCCTCTCACTGGCTGTTGGACCCACCCAAGGCCAATCACCTAACCTCTCTGTGCCTCAGTTTCCTCACCTATAAAATGTGAAAGACAACGATATCTGCTATTGAGAGTGGCTGGGAGGACAAACTGGGATAAGGCCTACATATGTTTCAAAAACTGGCCAAAGCTAATCTATGGTGCCAGAAGACGGGGGAGCAAATGGTTCCAGCATATGAGCAAGAGGAAGCCCCCATCTTGATTTCTGACCATCTTAGGACTAACGGGACTGAGTCAAGCTTCATCTAAGCTGAAACACCACTTTAAAATGAAAGGTGGGCCCACAGCACAGGCGAGCCAAGCATTACCACACAACAGGCATGCATCTCACAGCTCCTGAACTTCTCTCCTCTCGGACCCAGATGAACCTCGACAAGGACACATCAAAGCAGTCTCCTCTTCCGACTTCTCCCCCAGGTAAGAGAGTTTTCATACAGGGACATTGTTTGAACAATGAAAGGAAGAGGTAAGCTTTTCTTTCTGAAGTGTGACTTGGCAAATGGTCATCCTGTTCTATGTGGTGAATGCCATGCTTTAATCATTCAGCTGCATACTCCAGGAAGGGCAGCATCTGAACGTGTCTCGTCTCAGCTATTATTATCCGCTCCTTCCACATCCTAACAAAAGTAGACACACTCATAGATCTTAGTGCCAAGTACACAAGTACATCAGACACGCTCTCATAACTTGCTGAGTTCAGATTGTCACTAAACACACTCTCAGCTGGTAATCCTAACCATAAAAAAAAATGCAAGCACTTTCATGCTAGAAGTAGAGAAGTCTTCAAAAACATAACCGGTAAGTGCTGTAAACAGCACAGGCTGGTCACACAGGGAACGGGACTGCTCGAAGGGGTGAGAAAGCGCCCCTCAACAGAGGAGAGGGACCCAAGGCCCCACACTTACTGTGGCTTTGTCAAGGACTTTGATGGAGCATGGCTCAGCCACGTTGTGCTTCCGCAGGGCCTGCTCCAACAGCTGCAGAGGAGGACGCTCCCATTTCCCAAACACCACTAAGTCGATGTCACTGGACAGAAAAGAAGTGACTGTGAACCACTGCTCCCCTCACCGCACAGCAGTGGGGCAGGCCAGTGCCACGGCACACACACTGGAAGCTCCTTCAAGGGCCCTAGAGGACCCCATTAAGCAGATCCCTCTCAGGGAGAGAAAATGCAGTTTATGAACTATTTGTAACATAAAGATGGAAAGCAAAGAGGCTGACAGTCTTTCCCAGCATCACTAGGTAATGAACAGGATTGAAATAAAAGTGCCTGCCCCTCTGAGGTTTCCTGGTCCTTACATTTCTGTGCTGTCTACACTGGATCACTCTTGCTGACCCAGGATTCCTGGACATTTCAAATCTGTTCAGTTCCCCACTTCCCCACTGGCCCTGCCAATGCCAAATCCTGAGAGGATAGCCTCATTAATCTCCACATGTTAACAGTGAGTTAACAGAAAACAAACTTTCAATGAAACAATGCACATAAAATTGATTTGGATATTAAAAGACTTCTTAATAAGAAAACACTGGAAAACGGTTTTAGAATGCAAACTTGTTTGACGTTTTTCTATCAAATAAAATCTTTACAAATATCATTTAAATAGAATTTTGCTTGAATCTTCCTTAAAACATAAGATCAATTTTTCAAAACATATCCAAAAATATCAGAACAAAGTTTTCTGTTGCATTTACTTCCCGCAGCTCTCTCACTCATCTTCGTTATGTTCCTAGTGTCCAGCGTTTTTGTACCCCAGCAAATTAAGTGCAAGAGGACAAATGCGACAGTCAATCATCATACTAAACTAAACTTTATTTTCTGCAATTTCTCTTCTGTGCTCCACAGTCTGTTCCTTTAGCTCGCTTGTCTAGCCTTAGATTTGAACACAAGGAACCTACTTTTAGCCTTTAACACACCTACAGACACCACCCACCCCTCCCCCTGCTGAACACGCATGAACACCCATCTGCGCCAAGACCAGGGACTCACCTGGTGGGGAGATAGAGACCTGTGCTAAAGCTGCCAAATATCTGCACCTGAAAGAAAGAGCAACTGCCTTAGTGCGCGGCGTCTGCACGTCCCTCCCAGCTCCGCGCACTGAAACAACAGCCTCACTCCTGCACCCGCGAGAGTGTGAACCGCCCTGCATGGTGGGGCAAGAGACACCGAAAACAGTCCAACAAAACCTTTCTAATTTTTAAGTTAAAGACCCACCCCAAAAAGAAATTTTTAAAAGCTCAAAATTAAGAGAGGAAACTATTACTGGCCTCGCCCACACCCACTCCAAGCCGAGGACTTCTCAGAGCCAGGTTCAAACACTCCAACAACTTGCAAACCAGTAGCTGAGGTGCAGGGCAGAGCTCTGTCCCACAGCACTAAAGCGTAAACACCAAAATGCCACACACCACTTCAGAAGAGGGGACTCGAGCTGCTGCCCTCGCCCAGTGAGCACACACGTGCCCTTCAGCACCTCAGCTTCTCCGTCCATCCCAGGTCGGTCATCAGTCACGGTCACAAGTAGGGAAGGCTGACTGACTAGGACAGGAGCTACAGACGGGCTGTCATCAACTCGGTCAGGGGACATGTTTCTCGCTGCCTATGCCAAGCACTGGACAAGCCCACGGACCTCATCTCAATGAACACTTGTTCATTCACTGTAAAAGTGGTCTAAGAGGAGATACTTTGAAGTTTTACAAAGATGAACATATGCTATGGTGTGTGGTGGGGGAAAGGGGTAAAATTTCTAACCTCAAGGTGAATTTAAAGCAAGAAAAATAATCACACCATTCCAAAAAAACCTTCCCTTAGGTGAGTGGTCCTCACACTAGGGGGTGTCAGATGCCCCTGGCGGGCGTGTTAAACACAGTGCTGGCCCACCCCAAGGTCTCTGATTCTGCAGGTGCAGGGGAGGGTCAGGGAGGGAGCATTTGGAACCAGATCCCAGGTATGCTGCTGCCCATCCTAGGACCACACCTGGAGAAACACTGCCTCGGGCCAACAGGAGATACACAGGTCTGCACAGATCCACAGACACATTACAACCACGGGAGCTGACATCTACTTGTGTATGACACAGAGGTACAAAGAATATACGCACATCAGCCGTGGGCCAAAGGTCTTTAACCACGGTTTCGATCCGCTTCACCACCTCTCTTCTCATGGCTGCTTCTTCAGGACAAGGGGACATGAAGTTATAAAAGTCAATTATTTCCTCGTGAAGCCTAGTGAACAAAAGAGAAAACATACTAGCGTTACAATTGAACTTAACCACACTTTTCATTTTGTTATTAGATCAGCATGACACTAAAATACATTCTGGCCACTTAAAACCCAGTTTCTTTTCTCCTCTGAGAGCACAAAATGAAGTGAAAACTCTGTGGTGGACAAAATCACACAGTATGGGTTTAGCACCACAGATTAACATGAGTGAATTTTGTCAATATCAAATACCAAAACTTTCAACTGGCACTTAGACTTATCCAAGAAAACCATTTCAGTGACTTTACATCACAACACTGAGAGAACTGCATCTTTGAAAGATGAAAGACGATTCCCTTTGATGCCGCCCAGCAAACACAGCCACACCCCAGCACGTGGCCCCAGCTCTGACGTGCTCCGGAGCCCATGGGCACCTCCTGGTGCCCCATGCTAAGGAATGCAGACCGAGCCGCGAGCAGCGGCAAGGGGGGACGGACGGACGAGGCGAGGCAGACGCATGTCCTCAGGAGCCCGCCTGCCCAACCCTCACTGACAACGCTCCGGCCCAGCATCCAGCCCCTCACCAGCTCATCACAGAGAGCTGGAGTCCCCAGAGGCAGAGACGCCCATTTAATTCAGCACTCAAGGGTTCTCTCCTTAAAACTCCGACAAGCAGGTCAACCACCAAACGTGCGTGGGCCAGAAGTAAGTACGGCCCTCTCTTTCTTTCCTAACAAAGATCTAAGAGTGCTTTCAGGAGAGGAGCGAGCTCTGAAGCCGCCTTACACCCCTGCCTCCAAAGTCCCTTCTCTCACTGTCAGCGCCATGGGCGAGAGCACGGCCCTGCGGCAGCGGCAACAGCTCCCAGAGTACAGTTTCTGGGCCAAGGCTGTGACCGCAGATGCGGGGAGCCACTCCTGGGAACTGGAACAAGTCAAATTCACCTGCTTCCATTCTAGGTTTGATCAGTAAAGCAAATAGAAGACAAAATAAAACTAGCTCAATAATAACATAATAATAGTGTTAGTTCAACAGCCAGCAAAACAGTCCACATAACGGTATGCAATACTTCTTGACAGGACCTATTAGTGTCAAGTTACAAAGATAAGAGGCAGCACGTCATCCTATATCAGCTCTTGCTTAAGGCTGACTTCAACTCTCTCACCTGAAGAATGGCCTCCCCACCCCCAAAATTCATCTGGAGCAACCACTCCTAACACATGGCAGCAGGTTTTAAGGCTACTCAAGGCCACTGGAGGCACACATGGGTCTCCAGCAGGAAATAAATCCTCAAGACCCTTGTTCACAGTATACTTGCAATATCAGGTTGGCCAGTGCTGGGACCTAAGTTTATCATGTTTAATCTTCTAAAAGAATCAAAGAAGAAACCTTCACCCCAAGCATGCTACCAATGCAGACAGCCACGAGTCCAGTTTTTAATAAATCCAAAAAAGTAATGTCATGCAACAGAAAAATGCAGATATTTTCCAAAATATCAGACTTCAAGATTCTGGGGTCAAAGTTTCTATCGTTTCAACAATTAGTGAGCACCAACTACACACACTAAGCATTTAGTCATTTCTCTTCCTGCAGCTCAGCAGGCACATTAAAGTTTGAGGTGTTACCTAAAATTTCCTACCATTTGGCAATGTTGTTAGCAGGACTAGATGTGTCAGGTTGGCGGATTAATGCCCAAACCAGGGAAGAGCCACGGGCGACCCAGGATGTCTAGGCAGCTAGGCAGGATGTGCCTGTAGCTGTCGCTGTCACTGTGGAGAGGTGTCTGGGAGGTAGCACTGGGCTCTTCATCAGAAGAGCTTGTGCTGCTGGTCCAGCATCACCTTCGGTGAGAAACTGGGCCTGTGAAGCACTAAGAGCACGTGCTCTGCTGCACCTCTTAGCACTGTTCTGATAACAACAGGAGTACAGAAATTCAGAGACATAATAACAAAGATATAGGCCTAGCATAATTAAACAATTGGCCTAAAGTCATGGAAAAATATCAAAGCTAGGGTGCTAAAATTCTATCCACATCCCACAAATTTAATGCATTAAAAGCATCTTCTACACAAGGCATTCCAATCTGCCAAAACATCACTGCAGGTCTGCACTGGCAGAGTAGAACGTACTGTCAACTTTCTTCTAAGTTGCGTGCACCTGAAATGAGAATGATATAAAACAGTCCCTTCTCTGCTCCCCAGGACTCCTGCCTGCCTCAGTCACCCTCAATGCACCAGGAAGGGAAAGAGCATGAAGAGAACCCTTGCAGTCTTCACAGACACCACCCAACCAGTGTAACACAGTGTCAGTTTTATCAGATGTCTGCTGACTTGCTCCACATAAGGGGGGGGGGGGGGTGTCACCTAGCATTCCTACCCCCTCATATTTCAGGGGAGAGTAATAATGAGGTTGAGGCATGCCCACGTTCCCAGCTCGGGAAGTGATGCCAAGTGGAGCACACAAGCCTCCTGATTCCAGTGTCATGGTCCACCAATAAGATACACTAGTAATATACCTATCTGAAATGTGTATCAAATTGGATCTAAAAGTTAGCAAAAGCTGTAACAAGTATTAGATAGTAAAAGTACTTTTGCTTTGCCTTCTGGGGAGTACTGCTGGTGGACTGGCTGGACAGGAAGGCTCTGGCCAAGCCCCCTGGCCCTTCCTTGAGGCAAGCAGGGACCAGCAAGGCAGTGCCTGACCCCTGAGCCCCCGGACTGCACAGCTCTGGAGTGTGACTGCACCATTGGTGGAAACAACACAGGAAGGGCTAACAACCATCAGGATGTCTGGGAAGACTTGAAAAGCCCCTGCAGCTGCCTGCTCCTGCTGGGTGGGTTCTTCGTGGAACCCTCAAAGGGAGAGGAAGCATCCAGGGCTGAGCGAGGGGAACTGCTGACCAATGCAAGAAGAACTGAGAAGTCAGAGCAATTGAACAGAACCTGCAGGAAAGCAAGGCAGTGCCCCTCTCCCCAGCCACACCACCCCTCACCCTTCCTCCGCCCTGCGTGCTTCACTGTGGGGCGCAGGGATGGCTGGAGTCTGTCTGCCCAGGGAAGGTGCCCTCCAGCAGGAAAGGGCTCCCCTGCCCACTGCCTGATCTCCATTGCCACAACAGTGCTTGTTCGTGGTGAGTATCCAATCAACGTGTGAGGAAGGAATCAAGTCAAGTTTTGATAAAACAAATATTTTACCTAACCTTGTCACTTACCATCTACAATCCCTATAAAATGACATCAGAAATTAACATTCCAATGTTAATTCCAAGAATTAACATTTCCACTACACTGGATAGCTTCATTTGTTAACAGAAACCATTTAAATGACCAACTATTCTTTTAAAAATATAAACAGTGCTAAATAAAAAGTTTGGATTATTCTATACAACACTAACATTGCAAGTAGTTTTCATCACATTAAGAAACTGCATATTCTGATTACAACACCCTTTGAAAATTAAGTGCTATAACCAGACACCCAGCCACCAGCATTAGATACGACACAGGTCGTTTTATCAGTCTATTACTTCAGATCTGAATATACCGACACATTCAGTTCTCCAAAGTGATGCACAGAATTACGTCCTTGGAAAGTCTTGATCATTTCTACTCAAAAACGAAAATGAAGAAGTGCACTCTTCTGACATATCAAAACCTCAGAGGAATTTCACAGCTGACAAGATGTCTACATAAAAACCACACCCAAGTCTCCCTATCTATAGGCAATTTAGTCAGTGTTATCTCTTAGAGCTCAATGTCAGTCTACTAGATCCAGTCTGAAATTAAGGAAATTTCTAGGCTGTGACCATCGTAGAAAAATCTCCTCTGTAACGGATCACAGAGGTGGTATCTCAAAACCAGCAGGAAACTGTGACTATCTAACGGCAGGCTCTGGGATGCTGCTTCAGGTGGCAGAGGTGTGGGCTGCCCACCCGGTGTGCTAAGAGGCCACACAGACTGTCCTCTCCTGCAGCTTCAGGCAGCCCCTGAGCCCTGCGGAAGCTGCTGGGAAACTTTCTCAGGAGGTTTCTTAAGGGAGAGTTCCTAGAGCGCTTTTGCCTTCCCCTCCCTCAGTCCTGGAGCGTTGATCCCCACATGGGCCCGAGACAGGCAGCCAGGTACGGAGGGAAGAAGACAGGCGACAGGGAGCTAGACCCCATGTGTTCAGCTCACCATTACTCCATTACTTTTGCTCTTTGTAGCCAAACCTAATTCCGACAGAGTAGCCTAAAAACAATGAAGTTGGATTCCTACCTTGTTCAACAGTTGAAAATATAATATATACAGATGCTGAGTTAAATTTTTTAAGTGAAAAACATCAAATAGAATTAGGAGAAAACCATGCGGAAGCATCAGCTATCTCAGATTTGAAGGAGGCCTTGCCAGACACCAACGAAAAACAACAATCAGAACCCAAAGACTGACAGATTCAAAGAAATTCTATCGAAAACATGCTGAGTGTAAACAAATTAAAAAGAAAATGCAACTGCATGTGGCAGCAAGCAGCAGCACTGACGTGCAGAAGGAGCAGGCCTCTCACGGACCACACAGGGAACTGGACCTGGCATACTCTAGGGTAAGCTCACCACTCACCAAAAGGCTGAAAAAATGCGTCCCTCTCTGAGCCCAGTAATTCCACTTCTGGACACCTATGCTATGAACCCTGACACACACCCAAGAAGCCATACGCATGCTCACAGCAGGGCGGCTGGCCCTAAAGAAACGGTCCCACAGGATGAGATGCTGTCCACTCATAAAGAAGAACCAGGAAGACGCAGGCGTGGATAAGGAAAGGTGTCCAGACAGACTGCCAGCATGGAGACAAATAAAAGCCAGACATGGGCCCACTTATCTATGAATGTCTGGCCCGCACATGTGTGTAAACACGTGAAAAGGCCACACGGCAGGGCAAACAGGGTTTCCCACCCAGGAGACTGGGAGGGTCTGGGAAAGAACCCCCACTGTCTACTCCAGATACTTTCCTACTGCTTGCTGTTTTGTTTTTTTATAAGAACAAACTCATT